CCAGGTCGCAATCATTACGAAGAAAATTGGCGAACTACGCGTATGTATAGACCCGAAGCCACTGAATGAGGCCCTGCGTAGAGAACATTATGCGCTACCGACGTTAGAAGATGTTTTACCGCGTTTTACAAAAGCTAAGTTTTTCACGAAAGTAGACCTTTCTTCCGCATTCTGACACGTTGTTCTAGACGATGAATCCAGTTTCCTCACCACATTTGCTACACCGTTCGGACGTTATCGTTGGCTGCGATTACCGTTTGGCCTGAAGGTGTCTAGCGAAATTTTCCAAAAGCGTTTGGTGCAAGCAATAGATGATTTAGATGGCGTAACCTGTGTGGCAGATGACGTTCTGATTTACGGTTCGACCGAAGAAGAGCATGACACTAAGCTACACCGGTTCCTGAGGCGTTGCGTGCAAAAGAACATCAAGCTAAAACGCGAGAAAGTAGAGCTGCGGAAAGGGGAGGTAATTTTCCATGGGCATGTGTTAACATCCGACGGAATCAGGGTTGACCCAGGGAAGATTAGGGCGATACAAGAGATGCCGTCCCCTAACGATGTGAAGGCAGTCCATCGCCTAAACGGTATGGTGAACTATTTAAGCCGCTTCCTACCAGGACTCGCTGATGTCATGACTCCGATTAGGCAGTTAACTCACAAAGTAGTAGATTGGAGCTGGGGGAAGGAACAGGATTTGGCTTTCGAAACCATTAAGAACCTTATCAGTAATGCGCCCGTACTCGGATATTACGATCCAGCACAACCATTGGAGGTACAGTGTGATAGTAGCCAGAGTGGAATAGGTGCTGTTCTGTTGCAGAACGGAAGACCTTTGGATTTCCGCAGTCGAGCACTCACAGAGGCCGAGAAGCGGTACGCACAGATCGAGAAAGAGATGCTGGCAGTGGTCTATGCCATGGAGCGTTTCAATGATTATACTTTTGGAAGAAAGACAACCGTGTACACTGATCATAAGCCGCTGGTGTCGATAGCCACTAAACCACTGAATAACGCTCCTCGTCGTCTGCAGCGTATCCGGCTCCAAAATTATGACATTGACATTGCGTACACACCTGGCACACAGATGTTCATCGCGGACACCCTGTCGACAGCACATCCGCCAGTGGCCGAACATCATCTAAAATAGATCGAGACAGTTAACATGGTGCAGCATCTGGCAGTGACAGAAAACCGTTTGAAAGACCTAAGGCATTTCACGGAGGAAGACCAAACTTTTGCAGCTTTGCGAGACGTTATCCTCAATGGGTGGCCAGAAACAAAGAAGCAGCTCCCGAAGGAATTAACACCCTACTTCAATTTTCGGGACGAACTCACTGTCTGTGACGGTCTGTTGTTCAAGGGAAGTCGAATCCTAATCCCTTCTTCTCTCCGAAAGGAGATGCTGGAGCATGTCCATCGCGCTCACCTGGGTGCAAATTACACCATTAATCGAGCAAGAGAACTGATGTTCTGGCCAGGAATGACAGGTCAGATCAATGATCATGTGTCTAACTGTGAGGCGTGCCGTTCACACGACATTCGGCAAACGAAGGAACCGATGATGCTGCATGATGTTCCGGAGCGACCGTGGCAAAAGGTAGCAGTTGATCTATTCTGGGACAACGGAAAGGATTACTTACTCACGGTGGACTACTATAGTGATTACTTTGAAATCGACTTACTCACCACCACGACCACGGAGGCAGTAATCAACAAACTCAGATGTCAATTCGCACGGCACGGGATACCGGAGGAGCTAGTCTCGGACAACGGTCCCCAGTTCAGCAGCATGGCATTCCAGGTTTTCGCAACCAAATGGGAATTCGCACACCGGCAAACCAGTCCCTATCACAGTCAACCAAATGGGAAGGCAAAGCCGGCAGTGAAGCAAGCCAAGCGACTATTAGCGAAGGCTAGAGATACTCGGGAGGACCCATACCTCATGCTACTGGAGAGTCGCAACACTCCTTCAACGGATATCGGCCTGAGCCCAGTGCAGCACCTATACAGTCGAAAAACCAGAACTGTGATGCCTGCATCCGCAACACTTCTGCGCCCTGTCACTCCACAAATGGAGAAAGTACAGAACAATTTGAAAAGGCGAATGGCTACTCAGAAACGGTATTACGACAACGGCGCACGGGAATTACCTGAGCTGACAGTGGGGGAAGAAGTATGGGTTGAACCAATTCCCGATGGACAGGAGCGGTGGAGAAAAGAATTCGTAGCCGCGAAAGTCGGTGAAAGGTAATACGAAGTAAACGTTGGAGGGGAGAAGCTGAGAAGAAACCGAGTACAGCTGAGGAGATGTCCGAGGCGACAGCATGAATCAGGGAGAGAGCGTTATACTGCGTGCGGCAATGAGGCGACATTGGCAGATCCAACAAAGAGGACGCGGAGTGGTAAAGTGTATGGACTATTTAGCAAAGTACAGCAGCAAGAACATGAAAAAGGGAGGATGTGATGGGAGTATACACTCGAACGAACGTGCGGTGCCAGCCCAACAAGGAAGCCGTTAGGCTGCCTCAAGCAAAGGCGGCAACTAATTGGACGTTCAGACGTTTCTCGCATGCACGCTGATTGGCCAACAGTGGACGCATTGGAGTGAGTTTGTTTGGCTGAATCAAAGGAAAAATGTCATGCATCAACAAAGGTT